TTCTCGCAGTATTTCAAACTTTTTCATTATTATTCTATTTGAATTGCTGCAATCTCCTGATACAACTTGAAGGGATGAGGAGTTGCTTCTCACGGACGAGCAAAGAAAGTGGTTTCTGAAGATGCCATGCAGATGTTGAAATGACAACAAAGGACTGAGAATATGACATGAACTTACTGGATAAAGCAGCGATGGGGTTTGGAGGGTTGACCCCAGTTTGGAAGGAAGTTCTACTGTGGGTGAGACGCGATCAAGGAGCATCCCATGCCACAGAGAAATCATTCAGGGAAAGAAGAATCCATCCATGTGGGAGATTTCATTGTTTTATTTTTAAGAACCTGCCACAGCCACCCTCACCTTCAGCAGCCACCATCCCGATCAGTCAGCTGCGTGATCAGTCAACATCGAGGCAAGACCCTCCACCAGCAAAAGGATTACGACCCACTGAAAGCTCAGAAGCCAGCTAGCGTTTTTTAGCAATATTTCTTTTTAATTAAGGCATGTGCATTGTTTTATAGACATAATGTTATTGCACACCTAATAGACTTCAGTATAGTGTGGACATAACTCTGACATGCACTGGGAAACAAAAAAAATCATCCGACTTGCTTTATTGCGGTATTTGCTTTACTACGTTGGTCTGGAACAAAACCAACCATATCTCCAAGGTGTGCCTGAATACTTGTAGGATGTAGGTATGATAAAACTGCCCAAACAGGAAGGCAGGGAGTGATGAAGACAGGATTCAAGGCAGGGATGGGATGGGGGTCCCTCGGGATTAGATGTTGGCCATTGTTGGGGTCCTAGCTTTTGATCGATGGGCTACGGGGTGTGTATTACATGACTAGAGTTATTTTAATCATGGACATTTTTAATAAGAGCAGGTCATACAAGGACCAAAGAGAATACACCATGATCCGGATTATGATGTGCCCATAATTCTGTGTACCTGAAGTTCACGACCTGAGTTCTGCCTGTCTGGCTCATGGCTATCTCCCCAGCGCCCAGCCCAGGGCTCGGCACATAGTAGGTGCCCAATAAAGATTGGATAGATGAATGATTTAGTGAATGGGTGATTAACGGGCTCCAGCGGTCAAGTGTGGGGGCGGGCAGGGTGAATACCACAGATAGAAACATAGGGCAGCCCAGGGGTGGTGTAGGGGTGTGGGGAGCACCTCAGGTGAGGCATGCTGATCCCCACAATGACACCACAGACCCCAGGAATGAGGACCAGAGCTGACCCAGGCCCTACACAACCCATGACCACCCAGATAAGAGTTTTCTTGTGGATACAGGAGCTTAGGGGATATCTCGGTCTCCCGGCCAGGGCTCTGCTGGGCCCTGCAGTCAGGGGATGGTGGGGTGCCTGAGCTGTGAATGGTTCAGCTCCAAGAGGTTCCCCACATCATCCAACCGTATGCCACCGTCCCCAATGCTTCCATGTCCCCATACCCCCTCCAGTCACTCCCATTATACGCTGCTTCAAGGTGACTCACTTTTTCCCTCCTAAATAGATTGATTTAAAAAGGAATGACTATGTCACTACCATAAATGGAAAAGCGATACCTGTACCACAAATAGAAGGAGACTGTAAACATAAACAGGCAGAAAACAAGAGGCTGTGAAATTCTAGCTCAAGAGTGTAGACGAGCGAGATTCGGAGCCCAAGGCCCGCTCTCTCCTGGCTAGCAGTGGCTGAGGTGGCGCCGGAGGGATGTTAATGCTGCCTCACAGTAAGTGAAGCTTTCTCCCCTTGAAGAATTGCTGTGAAGAATTGTGTGATTCAGAGCTAGGGGCTGCCTTCTCTGTGACCCACCCTAACCTCAGCCTGCAGGACTCGCCAGTGGGTCGCCCCTCACCCTTTGGGAAACTGCCCCATGGCCAAGCAGTTTTCATTTTGTTTTTAGGCCTGGAACCCTTACGGGGAAGCCTCATGAGCAGAGGCCTGCCCGGCCTGAGAGCTGTAGCTAGGCGGGGAGGCCCAGCTGGAGGAGTCTCCCTAGCTCTACTCCCCAGCAAGCCCCTCCCTTGTTCCGGCCCCTCCAGCACCCCAGGGAAGCAGGCACAGGGCCAGACTGGCAGGGGGCAGGCCCAGCTGGGCCCTGGCAAGCCCCAGGGAGCCAGGATGAACTCATCCCTCGCCTTAATTATCTTCCTGGCTAATGAACATCTGAAAAGCTCCATGCCATCAACAGGGAGGACCCCTGGGATGCTTGGGGCTGGGAGGTTCTACGGGCCAGATGTCACCTCGGAGGGAGGTGGTAAGGGCCCTGAGAGAGGAAATGGGCTTGGGGAGGAGAGCTATACTTCCTGCTTCTTCTCTGTAGGGGAGACAGCTGGGGCCAGGCAGGCAGTTAGAGCTGAGGTTAAGTGTAGGACTCTACAGCCTACCATATGGGGATGAAACCGGGCTCAGAGCTCACCACTTTGGGTGACCTCTAGTGAGTGCCTTAGCCCCTCACTGCTCCAAGTGTGGTTCACAAACCATCAGCATCACCTGGGAGCTTGTGAGGAATGCAGAACCTCAGGCCCAGACCTACTGAGCCAGAACCTGCATTTCAACAAGACCTCCAGGGGATTTCTGTGCCTCAGTTTCCCCATCTGTAAAACAGGATTAAAATGTGCTTATGCATATGGGGTGCTTGCTGTTTGCTGCTATTATCATAACATCACGCTTGTTGTTATTGAAACAACTCGCCCTGGGCAAGATAAAGTCTGGTCCCAGGTCACCTACTCCTAGCCCCCCACCTCACAGCATCCCACAGGTGGGTTTCATGGGACTAGAAACCCGTGGCCCCAGAGGCGCAGTGACTTGCCCAAATTCCACATGGGGAAGCCCAAGTTCACCCCACACCTGACTGACCCTGTTAATAGTGAACGGGTAGGATTGCGTCCTCTGCAAGCAGGCACTTGAGGGACTCCCAACCACCCCCTGATGGCGACCTTACTCCTGCCCCCATCTTCAGATGATACTCAAGGACAGAGAAGTTATGCTGCTTTTCCAAAGCTACCCAGCAAGAAAGGCTGGATTTGAGCCCCAGCGGGCTCTCAACTTCTATGTCACATGGCATTCCCCTCACCATTTTGCCCCAGAGTCTCCCCCCGCCACCCCCCACAGTGTCCTTGCCTCTCCAGTCATCTGCCAGTCCTGGCTCTGGGGTTCTGAGCCTGCCCCGCCCACATCCTCACCACTAATGACATCTCTGCCAACTTAACGCTGGGACTGCAGAGAGCTCTGGAACTGGCTCCGTGGGAAAAACCTGCTTGCCCTTGCTCTGGGCTCCTAGGTGGGGCTGACCGGAGGGGAGCCTTTGAAGGCAGCACTGGGCAGAGCCAGGAGCTGGAGCTGTTCTGAGATGCTTGATCTCGCCTCAAGAATAGCTGACCTGGAGCCAGGCTTCCCTCTGTTTCTCTGTCCCCCATTCCTGCTTAACCTCCAGCTCACCATTGGTGCCTGGCCCCCCTTGGCTAGGGTGGAGGCTGGGCCAGGCCTGGAGGTCTACAGTGTGATCATTCACTCACTCACTCACCATCCCTGGATTCAGGATCTACTGTGTGTCAGGTATTGTTCTGCAGATGTGGCAATGCACAGAACAGACCAAGGCCTGGCGGGAGAGACGCACCAAAAGTTAATCACACACCCTCACAATGCACGGGGAGGGAGAATAATGACAGGGACTGCTCTTGGGTGGATATCTGGAAGATGAAGGGCAAGAATGTTGCAGCAGAACGACAGCGCTGGCCAAGGTCAGGTGGCTGGGCGGGGGTGGGGGGGGAGGGAACAGCTTGGTGCCTGTGAGGAAGAAAAGAGGCCAGCCATGCTGGAGTGGGTAGAGTAAGCAGGGCCTGACCACCAGGCCTCGTGAGCTGGGCCCTCCATCTGCTCCCAGAGCTTTGCTTGAGGCTTGGAAAGACATTTACAGCAGACAAAGGCTCCAGCTCCCAGGATGAGGGGCTCTACCTGCACCCCTCCTACCTTCCAAGCTGTGGGGGTCCTGAGGACTCGGGCCACAGACACCTTGAAGGGCCCACTCTCACCCCTCCTGTAGGCCCCAGCTGGCCACAAAGGGGCTCTCATCTCGCTGGACTGCCTTCTTGGGTGCACAAGTGGGGATTAGCGCACTAACAGGCACCTCGGTGTGTCCAGGCAGACAAGGCCTGGCCTGGAATTCTGCCTCCATCACGAGGAGACTGTGGTACTTCACTCTGGAGCCTTGGGTTCCTCATCTGTAAAATGGGTCGGGTGGATAAAATATGTTAAGCCAAGAGTACAGGGCGTGTCACGTGGTGGGGGCCTAATCACGGGGTTATTACGTTAAAGAGCCATGATTACAATTGGCCAAAGAGCTGCAAATTCCCCGCAGCTCAGCCCGCACCTGAAGGAGAGCTCCGTGGGGGCAGGGTCCTTGTTGGTCTTGTTGGTGACTGTTCTCTCGGCCACCGGCGAACCAGGCACCCGGTGGGTGTTCCGCAGGGTGGAGTGAACCGATGCGCGAATGATGAATGAATGAATGAATGAATGAACGAACGACTGAATAACCTGCTCCTTCCCCAAACTAGGACATTCAACTGCAATGTCCCGCTCTCTCTCCAGCCCCGGCCCAGGCTGCCGCGGCACGCTGTTCCCAGACAACACTCTTACCTGCGGTGTGCCTCAGGTGCCCTTCTCTGTGAGTGGGCGGGAATAAGGGCAACCTCGCGGCGTTGGAGGGAGGGCTGCGGCAGGCGCCCCGCACCCACCCGCGCGCAATCCGCGCGCGCCGAAGCCGAGTCCGTCCCCCGCCCCCAGGGCTGCAGGCTGCGCGCAGCCCCCGCCCCGCCGGGGCCGCCCCGGCCCTGCGCGCACGTGACCCCGCCCCGGCCCGCCCCGCCGTCCCAGCGCGGGCTTCCATTGGCCGCTTCGAGCGGGCCACGCCTCTGGCCGGGGCGGAGCCGGAGATGCCCCGCCCGCCGCAGAGCGGGGCTCCTGCGTCCCGACGGTGCGCCGCGGCCGGACCGGGCTGGCTGGCGGGCGGAGCCGGGCCCGCGGGGCTGCTGCGGTACGATCGGGCCGGGCTGCGGGCGGCGCAATGGTGAGCAGAGCCGGGCGGGCCGGGCGCTCGGGCCGGGCGGGGGTTCGCGGGAGGGGAAGGGGCGGCCCCCGGTGGGCTGGGGGCGCGCGCGGGGCGGCTCAGCTGTGGGCCAGGGGGTTGGGGGGGCGTCTCTGCGGCGGGGGAGGGGCAGCCCGGACGGGGGCGCGGCTTCGGGAGGAGGGTCTGTTCCGGGGGACCGCGCCCGCGGGCGGGGGTTCTTTGTCCGCGGCGCTGCGGCGAGAACGGGACAAAGAAGGCGGCGGGGGGCGGCGGCCGCTTTGCGGGGAGCGGGTCTCTGCGCCCTACCCCCCGTCCCCCAGTGCCTGCCCGCCACCGCGGCCCGCAGTTCCGCGCCCCAGGCCGGCCGCTGGCTTCCTCGGGACGCCTCGGGATATTTAAAATTAACGGAGGAGGCGGGCGTCCTAGCATCCCCCAGGGTGGCCCGGAGGGCTTCGGGGGTTAGGGGTGGGAGCGCGGGTCCTGGCGACGTCTGGCGCCCATTACGCAGGTGGGGAAACTGAGGACGGGCCGCAGCGTTTGGTGCCGAGTTTCGTCGGCGGTGACTGCGCGGCGTGGGCATGACTGGGTATCGTGGTCCCCTGTTCCTCCCCCCTGCCCGCCCCAGTCGGGCCGGCTGGAGTTTCTTCTCCAGTTGTCGCCCCTCTCCAGCTGTCGCCCAGGGGGCCGAGCCCCTTCGTTCCTCTAGCCTCGCTCAGCTCCTTGGTGGAGTGGGGGAGACGGCGTCGCCTGGCAGGGTTAAATGAGACGGTGCGTGGAGCTCGCCTGGCACGGTGCCTGCACGTTGCCCGCGCTCAGCAGGCGGTAGCCGCCGGGGCGCCTGTCATCCCTGTGTCCCCAGCATCGAACCCTTGTCACCCATCCTGCCCTGGCGGGGGCCGCACTGGGGTTTACCTGACCCCTGGGCCTGAGGCAGGAGAGTGGGGAGGTGGGGGCCAAGAATATGACATTTTTGTGTCAGGGTTGAAATCTGGGATTCAGATTCCAGGCTGCCTGGGTTTGACTCCCTGTGCAGCTACTTTTGAGCTGTGTGACCTTGGGCAATTGACTTAACTTCTCTGAGCCACAGATTCTTTATCTGCAAAGTGGGCTTAATAACAACACTACGGTTGTTTTGAGGCTGAGCGGAGAGAGGATCTGTGTGAAGTGGAAGTGCTTAGCTTCTCCGCATCTGGCACATAGTAATCATTGGCAACTTTCGTCGGGCATCTGCTGTTATTACTAAAGTTGTTTGGCCAAGTGGGCTGACCCTGTGAGAATGACCAGTGGCTGATTCACAGGGTGGGGGCACCAGTCACAGGCCTGGGCCCCAGGAGACCCAGACTGGCCCTGGGGCAGTCCCTGGGCTCGGTCTGCACCAGCTTCCTCTTCTGCCCCCAGGGAACCTAGGGGGTTCTGGTGCGAGCTTCCTCTTCTGGAGGATGGGGTGTGATTGGGTGGCCGATGGGAGGCCGAGATGACACTGGCTATATGGCTGCACACAGCCTCAGCCCCATAATGCTTTTTCCCGTCTGCATCCCTGCTGTTCTTGGTCCTGGTTTTTGGAGGGCAGGAGCCTTGTGCCATGCGTCCTTGGGTCCCAGTGCCTGCTTGGATCTGGCACAGAGTAGATATTCCCCCTGCATCCTGACTCTGCCCAGCAGTGCCCTGTCCTCGGGCGGGCTTCAGCAGACTGGTGACCCTGGACTTTAGAGCTTGTTTTTCTAGGAGCTGTGAGTGAGATCCGAGGGTCAGGCCACCCTTGGCCCAGGGAGGCAGGATTGAGGGTCCACGGAGCAGGAGGGTGGAGGATTGGTCCTGTATGTTTTGGGGGATCCAGATGGCCTCAGGTGCTAGCCTTCATCCTGACTGAGGGAACTCTCCAGGAGCTGCTACAGAGGTTGGGGAGGTATGTTCTGTCGCCCCCCCCCACCCCCCGCGGAGCGCTCAGAGCTTCCAGGCTCCTGGCTCTGCTCTGTCCACCAGGCTGGCCCCGTCCTCTGCACTTGGAAGACCCCTTCCTTTGATCTCCTGGGCCCCAATTCTGGGGGTACATCGAGCATCCTGGCTCTTCAGTCTTGGGCAATGCACTCAAACTCTCTGTGCCTCAGTTTTCTTATCTGTAAAGTGGGACCGATACTGGTGAGCCGTGTTAGCCACAGCGTTGTTGGGAGGATGAAGCAATGTATGGAATGGGTATTGAGCTACTTTGATGATTGTTCTGAGAGGGTGCAGGTTTCCCACGCGCCATCCTGGGTGTCGACCCAGCCCAAGCTGTGGCATCCCTGTCCTACCCTGTGTGCTTGCCTGGATCAGGGTGAGGGGTCAGCTGATTTGCAGGAGATACCTTGGCTCGGAAGGGCATGAGGGAAGTCGGGAGAGGCAAAGCAAGTGGGTAGGGTCCAGCCTGGGCCACGGGGGTTCAGGGGGAACCAGCCGGCCACCATCATGCTTCACATGTCCCCCGGGCTCTGATTCCTGGTGGCACCCCACTCTCCCTGCCTCCTAGCACGTGGAGACAGCTGCCCCTTCGTGGGCTCAGACCTCTTGGGAATCCACCTGCCCTTGCACTCAGGCTGCCAGCTTCCTGGAGTCTATTGGGACAGGTGTGGGGACCCATGCGGAGGGTCCCGGGAGTGGCTTTGGGTTGGAGAAGCGGGCTCGGGTGGGAGCCACTGATCACGATCCCCATGAGGGCAGGGGCCCCTCTAACTCATCACTATGTCTCCGGGCTTGGAACATTCAGCGGGCATTTATCGAGCACCTACTGTGCACTGGTAATAGGGCTGGGGATCGAAATGGTAAAATGCAAGGCAATGGCAGGTGTGGGGTGGTGGGGCGCCTGGAGCCAGGGTGGTCTGGGAAGGTACCCTCCCAGAGGCACCCACGGAGAAAGCCCCGAATGGTAAGAAGGAGCCAGTCATGGGACAGTCAGGAAAGAACATTCCAGGAAGAAGGAACAGAAAGTTCAGAGGGTTTGAGGTGGGAGGGCAGGGAGGGTGTGAAGAAATCCAGGGAGGCAGGGAGTTTTGCTTCTCTGCTGATGCCAGGAAGGGTTTGATGTGAGCAGATTTTTTAAACCATCATTTCTCAGGAAATACTCGCTGAGTGAATGCAGGGACAAACAACTCACTTGGGGGGAAGGGTGGCGCCAGTAAGCACAGGCCAGGCATGCCCATGGCCTGGTCAACCGGGCTCTGTGCACTTGGGGGTGAGAGTCCTCCTGGCCTGGGGCGGGGGCAGCAGATAGGGTTTTGCGGTCACCAGTCCTCTCAAAGGGTCCCTCTGAGCTGGGGCTGCCTCTGTCTCAGTTTCCCCATCAGTCCCAGGACCATGTGGCTTCCCCCTGAACTGGTAGGTGCCTCCTAGGCTCCCTGGCAGGTTTGGCCCTTAGGGGGTCCCCCCTCCTCAGGTCTTGCCGCCATTGTTTGATTTCCTGCTTCCTGCCCCCAAACACACATATACTTCCCCTTCTGAATTGATACTGCGTTGCCTTCCTGTCCAGGAGCCTGGTAGGAGGGCAGGCACCCCAACGGGTGCTGGACACAAGAGGGCCGGGGGAGGGACAAGGCAGGTGGGCGTCCTCTGTAGCAGGAAGAGTGGTTCACCCGGCACAGCCAGGGCGCTGTTGGGGGGCGGGGGGGTGGGGCGCTGGGTACCTGTCCTGTCTGGAAGCCTGAGGGGACAGGCTGAGAGGGGTGGTGGGAGCTGATGGCAGCCCTGCTGATGGCAGAGAGGAGGCCAGGATAGCCTGTGCACTTGGCAGCCCAGCAATGTGCAGGGCCACTCCTGGAGCACACAGCCCGATGAGGGAGGCAGGTGCCAACCAGGTGGCCATGCTGTGGAAGCCAGGGTTGCACACTGAAGCAAGCGCCCTGGAGGGAGGGCAGGAGTAGGTGCAGGTGCAGGTGCAGGATGAGGAGACCCTCCTGGGCTGCGGGGCCTGGCAGCCGTCCCTTCCTGACCTGGAGTTAACCAGGGCCCGCCAGGGCTTCTCATCCTCCACACTGCTGATGTTTGGGGCTGGATCTCTGTTAGTGGGGGCTGTCCCCTGCACTGTGGGATGTTAGCACTCCCCTGGTCTCTGTCCACTCCATCCCAGGAAACCTTCCACTGCCGGTGGTGACGACAAAAATGTCTCCAGACATTGCCAGATGTCCCCTGGGAGGCACAGTGGCCCCAGCTGAGGCCCACTGAACAGGAGGAGGGGAGCAGAGCGTTGGGGCACAGAGACCTGTCTGGCTAAAGGCTTGGAGGTCAGTGTGGCCGGGGAGAAGCAGGGGGTGTGGGCGCAGCCTGTCGGGCCCCGTAGGACTTGAGGTTTTTCCTCTGGGCCACAGGGGCATTGGCTACAGTGGACCCACACAGGTGGGCCACAGAGCCTGGTGGGAGTGACAGCCGCAGCCTGAGCCTGCAGCTGGTAACGGGGGGTAGACGTCAGGGGTATCACCCCCCCCTTCTGCCCAGGACGTCTGTGCACGTGTGGGCACGGCTGGCAGGGCCGTACTTGGGCGGAGGGCCCTGGACAGACTCCAGGGGCGTCGACTGAGCTGCCTTGGACCTTCAGGCATGCCTGGCCTTGGGTAGGCAGAGAGTCTCCTTGGTGTGGGTAAGATCACTTCTCATTATGGCTGTTACTGCTCAAGGACGACAGGTTCCATCCTGTCTGGAAGGAAAGCCTTCCCTTCCAAAGCTCTCTCCGTGTTGACGGCCATCTCTGCAGAGTTCAACAGCTAGCTCTTACTGAGCGCTGAGGGTGGCCCACGCGTTTCCCCACCCTCAGACGCTCGGGTGCTCACTACTCTTATTTGCTTCCTTTAGGGCGAGGAGGCCAAGTTAGAAAGTGCAGGGTCTTGGGACGCAGGGGAGCCGGCTGGCTCCAGCACCTGCAGCCTCAGTCGCCCGAGAGGGTCTGGGATTTTTCTGCCTGCTGGGCCTCCCAGTGCTGACTCCCCTGTGCCCCTCGCCAGCCCCGGCCACAGAGGAGGAATCCGAGGCCCAGCGAAGTGCAGAGGCTTGTCTGAGGCAGGCAGCAGCCAGGAGGCGGTGGTCCAGCACACGCTCCCGCTGCCCACCGCCCTCAGCTCCTGCGCTTGCCCGCAGGCCTTCCCCTGCCTCAGAGCCTTCGCCGATGCCATTCCCCTGCCAGGAATGCTCCTCCCCAGGGGCTGGCTCTTCCTGCTGCCTCAGCATTGGCCTCACCTCCCCGGGTATCGCCTGCCCCGCCCAACGTAGTGCCCTGGCACCCCGGCCCCTGTGTTCCTGGCATGGCGTTGGCATATTGACCTGTTTGCGGTCTGGGGCCCGCCCCTGATGCTGAGCTCAGTGTGGGCAGGGGCCGGTCTGCCCCACTCTCGCCTGCCCTCCCCCAGGCTGTCCTGAGTGCCTCCACGTTCCAGGACTGGGCTGCTGAAGGCTCTGCCCAGGCGGGTCACAGTTCTCTTGTGGACAAAGGCTGTCATCTGCTGCAGCCTCTCCCAGGTGTTCCGGAAGACTTGGCTGGGTTACATATGTCGCCCATTGGAGCAAGGGACTGAGGTCATTTCCCTGCTTTCCATTCCCTCGTGTCTGGCTGTCACGGAGTACTGGCTCCTCTTGTCCCTGGGCACTTCCTCGTGGAGCTGGGCTCTCAGAACATTCTTCTCGAACAGACCCTCTTCCCGCTTCCAGGGGGGCTGCAGTGGGGTTGCAGGTCATGGGCCCACTTCCCTGCATCTCTGGCTCCTTGGCTGAGCGAGGGTGACTCCTGTCTGGTAGCGGAAGCACCGATGGTGTCAGGGGTAGGAAGTGGAAGTGGGCTGTTGGGAGCGAAGAGAACGCTCATGACGTCATGTGCTAGAAACAGCGAAAGCCATCCGGCGTGTTTTTCACTAGGATGAGGGCAGGACGGTCAGGCTGAAGACCTGATTAAAAAGAGCCCCTATGGGAGAGGTCCCCCCACCCCGGCTGCCCCGAGCTTAGGAGCTGTTAGGGCCCTGTGGAGTCCCCGGTGGAGCCTCACCCTGCTTTGTCTTTCAGGGCTCACGGGTCCAGCCTGGGTTCCAGCCTCGCTGAGCAGACAGCCCCACGAGCTTCCTCCTGTGGAAGCTCCCCAGGCGCTGACCATGTCTATTATGGACCACAGCCCCACCACTGGCGTGGTCACGGTCATCGTCATCCTCATCGCCATCGCTGCCCTGGGGGCCTTGATCCTGGGATGCTGGTGCTACCTGCGCCTGCAGCACATCAGCCAGTCGGAAGACGAGGAGAGCATCGTGGGCGATGGCGAGACCAAGGAGCCCTTCCTGCTGGTGCAGTACTCCGCCAAGGGACCGTGCGGGGAGAGAAAGGCCAAGCTGACCCCACACGGCCCAGACGTCCACGGCTGAGCTGGGATGCGGAGGCCCCGAGGCCTGTTTGCAGCCGCCTGAGAGGCATGGGGAGGGGCGGAACCACAGACGTGCTGCTGGGGAAGGCTTGACACCTGCCGGCATGGCCTGGCTGGGCTTCATCACCGCATGCACTGGCTCCCGAGGCCTTGGCCCTCCTTAGCCGGGACGCCTCCTGGTGGGACTGCCCATTGCAGGCAGTGGGCAGGCCTGACCTTGCCGGGGCTCACGACCCCGTAGCGCTTTTGTTACTTGAATGTTGAGCTGAGCCTGTTTTTGATGGAGCTACTACTGTAACGCGTGAACTCACAAACCTGTGAACTGTAAATAGGCCCCGGAAGCATGTGCTGAAGCCCTTTTTTGCTGATTTTTAAAAATCCCGTGTAGAGCACATGGGACAGACTGTAGTCATGATAAGCTGACTCAAGGCTGGGGGGGGCGGGTCTTAGACATGGAAGGCCCACACTGCACTTGGCTGGGGCCTCTAATATATACGTGTGTATGTGTGTGGGCAGAGGACGGGACATGTCTGTTTTAGGTCTCGTGGCTGAGCAGCTGGGGTGCTTTGGTGATCTGTGCTTGGTTAGCAATGGATGGAAGAACCACGACCCCCACCCCTTCGGTCACAAAATAACCAGTTCCTGTTGAGAGTGGAGTTAACTGCAAGGAAGCCGCCGCCGCTGCTTGAGAGCCGGTGAAGGACGAGCCGGGGCCCGCGTCCCGAGGGCTGCCAGGCGGCCTGGTGGCAGAGCAGTTTCTTGAGCATGCTGAGCACTCTCCCCCCGCCACTGCTGTCCCCCCCCACCCCCTCCCCCCAGCATTACTCGTTGGTAGGAACACCAGCGCCTGTGGCGGCTACCTTTATCTGAAACCCAGCTGGCCCAGCAAAGAGGAAATGGTGTTTTTTGTTTGTTGTTCTATTTAATACTTTCTGCACTGGAGGGGCGGGGGAGGAAATCTTGAGGGTCCCCCCTCCTCCTTTTCACGCATTAGTCTCCTTTCTTCTCCGAGCACCACCCATCTGCTGGGTACTGGACTTCACTTGCCCCAGCAGGCCACCTAGGAAAGTCTCCCAACCCTGCTCCAAGAGCCCCAAGTGCATGAGCACCCAGGAGAGCCCCCTGGGATGGCGGCCTGACAGCCCGCCCTTAGTGGGCCCCGCGGGAGGGCGCGGCAGGGAGAGTTTCAGGTTCAGGATGGGGTTCCCATGAAGATGGGGCCAGCACCCCCACAACCTGCATCTCCAAGGTGTCCCTTGTGTATACTTCAGTGAACCTGCTGAGATTGTTAATCCCACCACCGTAAAGCACATTCTCCACTATCATGATTAAAACGTGGCTTGTGTAGGCATCCTTGGTAATAAACTGGAGGCCAGCGTGGGCTTAGCCGCGGAGCACTGGTCAGGCTGACGGCAGGTCTTCTGGCCTCACTCAAGTCTCTAACAAGCATGTGGAACTCATAATCTGCTTTCCGGAACCCCAAGGAGAGAGCTTAAGGAACACTTCGTTTTAGCAGCATATCCTTCAATTGGGGGTCAAACATGAAGTGTTAGCTTGCAGGATGGGAGAAGGGTAGCTCGGTAGCGTCTGAGCTGTAGGCAGGAAGGAGACGCCCCAGGGGGCTACTGAGGAGCCCCTGCAAGGCAGCTGGGCCTTAGCACAGGAGACACATCCCTGGCCCCTAAAACGGGGATGGCCAAGCTTGAGAGGCCGGAGACCCTCAGAGGCCCCCTGGGCCGGAGGGGGCCAGCACTCTCAAAGTCGCCCCCTGGAAGATCTGGGAGAAGGCTGGGTTTCTGGTGAAGGACCCTGGAGACCAACGTGGAAGGTGTAGGGGTGTCTGATCCGTTCCACTCACATTTCAGAACTTCCAGGCTTTCTACCTCTACTTTCCGCAGCCAGCAGCACACACCCAGGCTGTCTTCACCTGGGGAACCGAGAAACCCCGGCCCCAGGCTGTCCCTGAACGTGATGGCTTGACTGTCAGACTTGCCCTGAGGTTTGAACCGGTCGGGGTGAAGTTCTGGTTTTGAAATGATGAACCTTCACTTTTCTCCTGGGTTTCGCTCCTAGGGGTTCCTCATCCCACCTCCGCCCCGGTTGCCAGGGGCAACGCCTTTGCAGTGACAGGGCCGGATCAGGGTTGCAGGCTGGGGGCGGGGCGGGGCACGTACTGATGGGGGTCTCTGCGAGGCAAGTGGGAGTGCCCAGAGAGGCAGCGAACAACCACATAATAGCGCTCACTGTTCCTATTGATCAATAGCTACTATTTTTAGCGTAGACGCCAGAACCACACACTCACATGGCTTAGTTAAGTTATGACCTCTCACTGAATTCTTTCTGAATAGCCCCACTGTTGTGTTCTGGTCTCCTGATGGGTCAGTCAGGAAATCAACCTTTCATCCCTCATGTCATCACAGAAGCAACAGTCGGGGAATGGGGAGGGAACTCTTTGACACTGAGCCACGAAAATACAGACTAACTTTTCAGACAAATGTTCAAATGGACTGTGTTACTGTTTGTCTCCAAGCTACCAAGTTTGTGCAATAAGTGGAAGGGATGTCATCCCTGTACAATAAATGCTGAATGACATTCAACTTGATTTTCTAGACCACTGAGAAAATCTTTATTTACAATAAATTTCAATAAAATTTGCATAAATATATTCCCAATGTACAGTTTTCACCTCTGATTTCTTCACGTCATTTTAAAAGTCTGTCCTGTTCTCCTTGCTCCTTTCGGACGCCAGCGTGGAGCTGCTGTTGGAAGGCGGAGGGGTGCTGCCAGGTAGCTGGGGGGGACCCGGAGGCTCGGGGTGGTCAGAGCTGGCCTCCCGTGGGGGAGGGAGGGTTTCGGCTCCGTCCTTGCCCTCCAGCTTCCGCTCCATGGTTGCCACCAGGATCTTGAGCCACGTGTTCTCGGTGAGGAGGTCTTCCGAGGCGTCGGCCAGCTCCTGGAGCTTACGGGCCACCCCCTCGAGCTCACGGGTCTTCTGCTCGTACAGGGCCTGCAGCTGCCGGCTGTGCAGCTGGAGCAGGCTGTGCTGCTTCTCCAGGGTCTGCTGCTGCCGGAGCAGCCGGTGCTCATCCCTGCGTGCGCTGGACAGCTGGGCCTCCACCTGCACCTGCGCGCGCTGAAGGGTGCTGATTTCCGCCCTCAGCTTCCGGATCTCTCTCTCCAAGTGGGAGATGTGCCCCTGCTGGAAGACTGCCTCGCTCTGAAGACACTCTTTGGTAGGAGGGTTAGCTAAGTTCTGGGGGACGGAAGCAGGGTCTGAGTGATGCAAAATGAACCTCAGCAGATTAGGAAGGGTGATGGGAAGGTCTTCGGGGTATTTCACACTACGGTCCTTTCTGGAGAGAAAGGGAAAGGAGTCAATTGAGAGTCCTGTCAACATCCGTAGACCAAACCACACCACAACCGAAGGTCGGGCTGCTTACTTCCCACCAAAAAACATTCCGAGGATTTTACTTAATGAAAGTCAGCGGGGAAAATGTTATCTGGGCAAAAACTTTTCTATGAAGCTGAAGATGTCCCATGTGCTCGTTCTGTAATTAAGGTGGCTTATCTCAAATATGTGTTCGTTCCTAAGGACAAAGAGTCCAGTTTTTGATAACAACCTTCCAAGAAAGACAAGAAGCTCCCAGACCCAAGCCTCAAGCCAGGGATGGAGGGCACCGGCAGCGCGTGGTCAACAGGGCCTCCGCGAGCTCTGAGAGGCTCAGGGGCGTGTAAGGAAGGATGTCCTGGGGGAGGACGTCACCCGTGTCACTCCGTGGCTGTCAACAGTGCTTGGTGCAATAGGAAAGACTGAACACTCAGCCAGATTTCTTCCACCAGCATTTATTACACATTATCCAAGGCAGGAGTTCTTAACTGGGGGCTACTATAACCCCCCAGGGGCATGTGGCAACATATGGAGACATTTTTATTACCACGATGCAGGAGGTATCACTCAAGTCCTGACCCCTGATACAAAGACCAACCAAGGGACTCCGAGAAATTAAGGTCACCCCGCCCTGAAAGCACAGAATAAGGAAGGAAAGTGATGTATGAAGGGGGTTCCCCCAAAGCTCTGTTGCAAGTCCTGATGTAGAAAATTCCTTTTTAGAAGTTGTCATTTAACTGTCTGATGACCAACATTTCTGCCACATATGGGCCCCAGAGCCGCCTGCCGGGCAGACTCACAAGGCTGCCGCTCACGATCCTAGGCGCCCAGACAGGTGACCCCTCTGCACCCCTGCACTGCCTCATTTCTGTAAAAGGGGTAATAAACACATCGTCGCTCTCACGGGACTGCTGTTCAGATGACACGAATTAACCTGAATGCTGAGTGTTAACTGAAAAACAATCATATCATTCCTTAAAAAACCAACCAAGAAACCATTCATTAAAAGGTTACACACCCTCTCCACACACAAAGCCAGTGGTCAAATATCTAAGAAAAGACCAAAAGTGTTCTGCTGATGGACAGCTCTTTCCCAGTGAAAGAAGAATCACAGGGAAATTAAAATCACACATGCCCCGTTTTATACATTTACGGAGACTTTCAGATACATGGACTAGTCAAATATGTGGAGTAAGTATATAACCGCACCCTCCCTGAAAGCATGGTTTTCTTCACAGAGAGACGCTTGCTTCGAGTTGGGGACTCCCAGCCTTTCAACAGACGACTGAAAACCCCCGGGTCCCTCTGAGGTATGGGCAAGGAACGACAACGAGCAGACGAGCGGAGGCCGGCTCCACCCCTGAGACGTGCAGCGCAAACCTGGTCTCACAGGACAGAGTGGCTGAAGCCCCAGGAGAGAGATGCCCAGGTGCCTTAGTGTGTGTGCATTTACAGGACTGAGAACGACACCTGTCAGCACGCTATTCTAGAGTCCAGTCCCTGGAGCAACCTCTGTGAATCCACCGAACCCGTGTGCTGAATGGCTTTCCAACTTTCTAGAAGTAGCAAGGACACAAGGTGTGAACAAACTTCCACAAAGGAATCATTTTGGAAGTGGAGTCGTAAAAGGCCCCACGGTGTGCATCTGTTCTCAATCTGCTAGGAGTGTGTTCACGCCCCTCTAGCACCTAAATGGCTAGATGAAAACATGAGGAACAGGATATAAGGCC